ATTTGTTTTGAATTAATTCTGTATTAAAATCGACTAAAATTTTATTTAATTTGAGTTATTTTCAATACAATTTTGATCGATTTTTATACAGAAATAATTCGTAATTAATGTATTTTATAAATATAATTGCTAGAATCTTTATTTTTAGGCTGAAATAAGGCAATTTGTGATATGTTCAATCGATTTGGCTCAATTTTAAGTTGGGAATCATCCTAAATCAAAGTATTTCAACCAAATACTGGGTTTAATAAGAGTTTTTTTCCAAAATAAAGCAATTTGAGCTATTTTGAATCCAATTTTGCTCGATTTTAATATTGACTTAATTCAAAACTAATGTATTTTATATGTATAATTACTTCAATCTTAATTTTAGGCTGAAACAAAGCAATTTGTGATGTTTTCAATCGATTTGGCTCAATTTAAAGTTGGGAATCAACCTGAATCAAAGTATTTCAACCAAATACTGACTTCTAAAAGAGTTTTCTTCCAAAATAAAGATATTTGAGCAATTTTCAGTCCAATTTTGCTCTATTTTAATACAGAATTAATTCAAAATTAATGAATTTTATAAATATAATTGCTTCAATCTTAATTTTAGGCTGAAATAAAGCAATTTTTGTTATTTTCAATCGATTTGGCTCAATTTTAAGTTAGAAATTAACCTAAATCAAAGTATTTCAATCAAATACTGACTTAAATAAGAGTTTTCTTTAAAAATAAAGCAATTTGAGCTGTTTTGAATACAATTTTGCTCGATTTTACTACAGAATTAATTCAAAATTAATGTTTTTTTATTAAAATAATTGCTTCAATTCCAATTTTATACTGAAACAAAGCAATTTGAGCTATTTTCAATTCAATTTTGCTCGATTTTATTGTAGAAATAATTCGATATTAATGTATTATGTAAATATAATTGCTTCAATCATAATTTTAGGCTGAAATAAGGCAATTTGTGATATGTTCAATCTATTTGGCTCAATTTTAAGTTGGGAATCAACCTAAATCAAAGTATTTCAACCAAATACTGACTTTAATAAGAGTTTTCTTCCAAAATAAAGCAATTTGAGCTATTTTCAATTCAATTTTGCTCGATTTTAATACAGAATTAATTCAAAACTAATGTATTTTATAAGTATAATTGCTTCAATCTTAATTTTTGGATGAAATAAAACTATTTGTGATATTTTGAATCGATTTGGCTTAATTTTAATGTGGGAATCAACCTAAACCAAAGTATTTCAACCAAATACTATGTCTAATAAGAGTTTTCTTCTAAAATAAAGCAATTTGAGCTATTTTCAATCCAATTTTGCTCGATTTTAATACAGAATTAATTCAAAACTAAT